TATAAGTATTTTATAAATTTAAATTAGTGTAAGTTGATCTCACTCCAATTATAATTAGTAGTTAATATTCAATGGGTACATACATTTGTGCTTTAGAAAATTAAAATTTAAAATATACTAATATTTAAAATATTAGGGTATTAGTAAAATTATTTAAATACTTTTAATAAATTTTTTAGTATATTAATTTATTAAAAGTATTTAAATTTTTTAACTATCATTTTTAATATTTAAATTGTTAAAATATCTTACTTTTCTATAATTTCTTATTTTTTTATAATGTAAATATATATATTCTTTGATTTGTTTAAATTTCAAACTACAAACTATAACCACAAACTTCTATATACTAAACACATCCTTAACACATCCTTAATTAAAACTTAAGAATAACTATTGTATTTTGGGGCATTTATGTTAGCTGAATTATAAAAATTTCATTTAAAATAAAAAGAAATTATGAGTAGTGGTAAATTAATATTACCTATTTTTATTAACTATGAGTATTTTCATACATAGATCGAGCATAATTTATATTTATTATTTAATTTAAAAATTTTTAGATATAAAGCCATGGATAAGTATTAAACAGTGTTTTTAAAACCAGATCGGATCGATTGATCTGACTGGTTCGACTGTCACTTGATTGTTAAAACAAGTTGGGTGAACACCCAACTCCGTTTTTACGGTCCAACCATCCAAACCCACAAAACCCACTTGACTCGTCCAGCCCGGTAGACCCAGCAAACCCGTCGGGTGAATTCTCCACGCTCTGGCAAAAACCTATTTTTAGCTCTCATCTTATCAAGTTCGAAGATTTTAATCCTTTACCTTATATTATGACATTTTTAGCCCATCACCTTACTAGATTTATAAGTTTTAACCCCTCACCTTACTAGATTTGTAGGTTTTAGCCCCTCACCTATTAAAATCGAAGAAAATGGTCCTCACTTTATATTGACTGTTAATTCTGTTAATTGATAGCTGAAAGTAGATTTTATCAACTAACAGTCAACTAATAGTCAATTTACAGAATTAACGAAATATTATAAAGTTAGTTTTGTTAACTGAAAGAAGGTTTTTGATAGTTAATGGTCAACTAACAGTCAGTTAATAGAGTTAATAGTCAGCTATCAGAACTAACAAAATGTTACAAAGTGAGGGCTATTTTCTTCAATTTTAATAGGTGAGGCGCTAAAAGTGTCATAGTATAAAGTGATTGGTTAAAACCTACAAATCTAGTAAGATAATGGGTTAAAAATGTCATAATATAAAGTGAAAGACTAAAACCTTCAAACTTGACAAGGTGAGAAGTTAAAAGTAGGCTTTTGCCCTGGAGTGGAGGTTGGATGCTTCAACATTTTTTTTTCTTTTTCTTCCACTGTTTGGTTCAACCCTCAAAGCTTACATTTGCCGTCTCCAAGGTTCAAACACGTAACTTCAATTTTTCAATAACTTTCGACACTAGAGCATCACCTTTAGAATTGAAATCTTTTGCTTTAAAATTTTATTTAAGGAAAACATCATTTAAGGAATCAAACTTT